AAACCTATCGATGTCCTTGAAACCTATCGATGTCATTGATTATTTTAGTTGAGTTAAAGTAACATTTACTTATAATAAGTATTTTTACTTCTCCTGGTCATTGGATGATACTTAAATGAAAACTTATGCTCAGTATACGAGAAATTTTAGTTCATTAATTCTAAATTTTTCATTTTCAACCGAAAGTAATACATTAAACATGTTTTATCAGAATAATTTCATTCGTAACATTTAATGGTGAACTGGCCTTCTCTGCTTCATTTCACTTGTTTTGTAGAAATACAAATGTTAATTAAATTGTAATTAAAAACTTTCACATTCTCAAAAGCGCCCACCAGCGGCCGAGCGGTAAAGTCGCTGAACACTGGTAGTTCGGTCGGAGGTTCGAATCCCGCGAACGGGCTGGCTGCATGGGTGTTTTCGTGGTTTTCCCCATGTGTAACGTGTATACGAGCCAGTTTCCCTTAGAAAGTCCTCCACGAAAGACATCCCTCCTCTTAGGCAGATAGCCCTAGTGTGCTTTGCCATAATTAAATACACCACACCACCATTCTCAAAAGCTTTGTTGCCATGGGCGGGAACGAAGTTCTTTGATTGCAATTTTCCTTTCAAAGCATTAAATTGTCTTTTAAAACATGGCAGACGATAATCTGTCATTCTAATATAAAAAATCTCCAAAGGAATATAATTAATGTGCTTTTCTAGATTAAATTTCCATTGTAAAGATACTGTTGTTGACAGACTATTGTTTTCAAATCTTGTTAATGACATTCCTACAACGATTCATACTTTGCATTTTTCTGAAATACTAGTATTACTTATTTTCGATTAAAGCTTTAAATTCCTAACGATAGATTATTCTCATGTCTTTTTAACAGAATATTCGAATACTTTCCGAAACACAAATAAAGGTTGAAGTTCAAATTCTCTGCACATTTGAGACTGACTGAATATGACTGTATTTGTAGTATTTCTCAGTAAACTGCTGTCGAAGAGGAATTTTCAAGTAGCTCAAATAAACAAAAATTAAGCGGCAGAAAATGTCAAAAGAACGGTTCGCACCGAAAAGCCATACGTTTTTCAAATTTAAATTTTCATAGCAGTTTACACACTCACGGAGTGTCTTCATATGATTCAGGTTTTTTTAGGGGTGATTAGCATTCGGCTGAATGTAAACCGACTATAGAATCATCAGCTACTTTTTGCTAGTCGTAAACATACGCATTTAGAAATCTTTTGCTAAAAGTGGTTTCATTAAATGCGATGTCAGATATTTTAAAGCAGGTTTCCTCTAAAATTTCCTAGAGGTGTGGGGGACTTGTTAGAGCTGCGTGGGCATAATGTTAACCCTTTGAACTCAAGGCCTTTTTAGCCGGGTTAAACTAGCAACTCGAGACGATTTTCTGCATATTTTGTGAATTTCTTACAGCTATAGCTTAAAATGATTTTACACCCAATTTAAAGAAGTCTAATGATTCTTTTATGTCTGAAGATACTTTTTGTCCTGCGGCTCTTTAGCTGAATACAAATGGTATTCTTTGCGGTATTTCGTCGAATTCTGTGCACGTTATCCATTCTGAATTTTCTATTTTTTGCGGAATCATTGTCGCTTTCCCATTTTCCGCCTGCTTACACCTCTTATTGCTATCTCCATCACTGCTTTCCTTCTCTCTATCGTCAAGTAGTCTGTGGGTAACTGGCGGCAGGTAGCGCTTCTAAGCTCTTTACAAATATATATATACATCTAATTCGTGTATATTATAGAATAATTATTTTAGTATAGTCCTTGTGACGTGAGGAACATGCTAACTAAGATCTCTAGTCCAAGAACATTCTGGCGTGTTTTTCTGATGGAAACAAGCTGCAGACTGAATTAACAACGCCTGCTTAGTTTTTCGGTTGTATCTTACATCCTCTGATTCGTTATATCTGAAACAATATCGGAGGAAAAACAAGATTGTTGCCCTCCTGAAATCGAGAGGCCTTTGACGACAGACACAGTGCAGAACGCTAAAATCTCTTGACACTGGTCGCGAAGTTATGTCTCTTGTAGTGTCAACTGGAACGAATTATTGCGTCTGACACATCGGTAAAAGCTTGGAAACAGTGACTTGCAGATACCGTACTCACGATTTTCTCATCTCTGTGTGGTCCGCTGCAAGTCTATGCGTAATTTTGTTTTCATTTAAAAAAAAAAAAAAAGCTCTTCTTCATTCGAACTGATTCGTTCATCGTATTCCATGCTTATTGGGCTCCGTAACGCAGAAAATAATATTCCTATTGCCATTGCTGTCAAGTTCGAACTAGTGTCGAAGACGCATATATAACAATAAATCTAAAAAATGTGTTAAATTTAAAGGTTGTTTTATACGGTGGCTTTTCAAATGCGGTCAAGAGGAAGAGACTGACGTTAATTACGGAAGGGGAAAGTAAAAGGCTGTGTCAGGGATCATAGGGGGAGATATATTTTAAAAGAAAAGTGTTTTTAGGTCTCATTCAGTATGTCAGGAATATATATCGCGCGCTGGAGATAAAAATGTTTTTTTTTTTTCATACAGTGTTGCCATTGCTCACTTTGAAATCGCCGAGTTTGTTAATCAAAAATTTGTTGATGTGTTATAAAATATAAAATCGATAATAAAACAAATTTTAAATTCAAATTAGGGCTTCCACGCGCCGATGTTCTATGGAAGATTACGTTATTCAAATTTTGATGGCTCTAGGTACCGTCGTTTTATCATAAGCGAGAAGCATACATACATTCATGCAGATTCTTCATTATTTAATTTCTTTAAATATAATACAGGGCTATAATATTTGGTGGCAACAATTTGAAAAGTGAATCACCGTTTATAGTTTTCAACGCAAAATGCCAAAATGAAATTAATAATCCTTCTGGGCAAATTGCCCCTTTGGAACTAATAATGTATTCTAAGAGAGATGGCGATGGGCTAATGCCTAGCAGTAAGGGTTTGGAATCAAGAATATATTTCGCACGCAAAACATTATATTACTTGCAAGTATTTCATTAACTGATATCGTTAAATTTTGAAATTTCATTATAAACTAGAAAAGGGATATAAAAATTAGGAAATATTTTATTTTTAAATAAGCATTCAATCTTATGTGTAGATAGCTGCAAATATTTCACTCAGTTGTTGTCGCAGAGCTTGTAAATTTTATTGGGGGGGGGAAAACTAGGAAATTCCACTGGTTAAGTAATGGAAAAATCGAGAAATTTTTGCGATCGAGGAGCAAAACGCTTTTTTCTGGGAGGGGGGGGTCTATACCAGAAACGAAGCAATAACACAGATAACTAGCATGTAACTAAATAAAATATAATATATACATTTTTTTAAATTACAAATTTACATTTATTATTCAATTCAAGAAATGCATACAAAAGCATTTAAGTCAAGATTACTGTTTAATTTGACGGTATTTTTAGTCATTATGCTCTACATAAAACGGCTTTTCTTCGTTAAGGAGTTCGTTTTTAAAAAGGTACCCTTTTTCATCGAAATCGTCGGGACTGATATGAAATGAAGGGCGATTTATACTATACCTCAATTTCCTGGCCTGTAAGACGCGCAGTGATTTATCAGGTTAAAACTTGGAAAAAATACTTAGAAAAAGGATTATGTACCTATTTTAATGATAACACTTCATACAACGAAAACGGAACTGTTGCATTTAAAAAATCAGCAAATACATCAGCGTTTCTTAGAATCTCAGAAATTCGTCATCGCTTGTTGCTAAAAATCATAGTTATTTTCACTTAGGTTGTCACTGTAACTAGATTTGCCACTTTCCTAAAACACAATGCCATCCTTATTTCCAACTAGTGCACTGCTAATTCCACACTTTTTAAAAGATTTTTGTAGGATAAAATTGGATAATAGGATAAATGTATTTTTCAGTATTAACTTCATTCTGAAGAATTTTCTGCTGTCTAGTATGCGTTATTTTATTCATAAGTCTCAAATTTAAAAAAAAATTTAATGTTTATATGTGATTAGAAAATTAACCAAAAAGCAGCGACCACAATGTTATTGAAAAACAGTCCTTAGACGTGAAAAGGTTGAAGGCCATTTGGGCTAAGACTATTTTCTCAGATACTCAGCTACTTCGCATACATGTATGTAACATAGCATTTGAAATGAAAAACTCAATATTTGATGTAACAAATATCTGTCTTTCTACTCCTATGGCTTTAAAAAAAGATGTTATTTGGCTTACAATTTATAGTTCAATAATGCATTTTCATTGTACAAAAATTGCATTCATGCGAAGAATTCAATTTGCATTTTCCTCTGTATAAAAACTGAATGTAGAGAAGTTAGATGTTTAAACGATCCTCACATTTTCTCAAGACCACGAGCAAGGTTATCCCCTCCTTTTCAGCACCCCCGTGAATAAAAGGGGTTCTAAATTTACGACCTGACCGCATATAGGGTGATTTCGTTTTATACGCATGTATTGTTGAATGCTTTCATAAGGCGATATTACCCAAAGCAACATTGCTGCTGCTCAAATTATCCCGTCAAACCGAGTGGTGACCGAGAATCACCTCTTGAATGTAAAGGGTTAATCTCATTGAATGTTTTATATCATGTGCAAGAAATAGAAGTGCAATTTCACTGAAGTGCATGTGCAGCATTATTTCCGTTGGTGCAGCCAAAATGTTTATTACTGTAGTAGTCAAGAAATTAATACGCTATTTTTCAAGAAGACCAAAGTAATTTTTTTAAGTATCTCTTTAGTTGGTTTATTTTTTCTTCTGTTAATTTCTTCAAATACTTGAAAAAAACTTAATGAACAAATCAAATGAAGGAATGGTCCCTTGTTTACAGCTGCTAAATTTATATTCTGATAATAGTTATGTTTTTCCATTTTATTAAATCAATTTTATTTATCTTATTGCATCGCAATTTTTCAAAAATAAATATAAAATTGAACAATTTTTTTTATGTTCTTCATTACATCTGCTTTTATTCCAGTACTCGAATGAAGAAAGTGGCTCCGCCCCCTCCTCCCCCCGTGGTGCCTAAGCCGGCTTCCCTGTCTAATGGTAGCGTGCACCGGAAGAACAGCGGCAATGGAGAGACGCCCCGGCCGCCCCCCTCAACCACCCCAGGAGAGGATTGCGCCATCGACGAACTGTTGGAGGGGCGCATGGAACTGGAAGTCGTGCTGCCGGACCTCAAAGTAGTTAGGATGACAGTAGATCGGAGGTTAGTGTTGAGATAAAATGAAATCTCGGCTGAAATATCTATATCGAATTTTTCTTGGCTTGAAATACTTAAGCAATTGTTTCATTTTAAATAGTTTTTTAATACATACACGTATTCCCCTACTTTTAATATAAGAATTAGGGAACAAAAATAAAATTGTAGTCTTCACTGCTTGGGGAAATCTTATGTGACCATTGAATGAGGAGCCAAAGCTAATTTTTTTTTCTTTTATCTCGAAATTTCTGTTCTCAAAATGAATGTAACTCTATAAACGTAAGGTGAATGCGGGGGTGAGGGAAGCAGTCACATTCATACGTCTGCAAATTTTAAATGGATTTATAGCGGTGATTTAAGAACATAAAAAGTTTTTCTATAAATTCCATTTGACTTCACTGGAATATTTAAAAACTATTTTTGTACGTTGTTATTGTCATTAATAAAAATCTTCTCATAGTCTTGTATGCATATTTTAATTTCTGGTCATTTGCAGTTTTTGCCGTAACAGCTCAATTTAAAATTTATGAGGTATTCACTTTGAGTGTCTCTCAAAACACGGTATTTAAACAAGATAAAAACTTCAGTGACTTTATCTGAAGGTTAAAATACTATCACATATTTTCCGACCATTCATTCAGCCGTGCATGAAGCAGTTTGACAAAGACTTATCTAGAGCGTATTTTTGTCTCGAATAGACAGATATGCTCTGCCATTGTGCAGATTGCATCTGATACTGCATTGTATTATTTAAAATAATATTAAAATGTTAATAACTTCATACTGAAATTTGCAACTTAACAAATTTGTTTGCAGATAAATGTAGCCAAAATTATTATCACATCATGGAACCGATTTTCTGTTACATATACGATGGCGAAAGCTGGTAAATACAAAACGCATAAAATCTTAAGAAAGCTACTGATAAAGAAATGAAACTACATGTCTGTAAAATCGATTAAAACTGCTAATTTTATCAAGAAAATACGTGCCGTCTAAATATTCATTATGATTATCAGTCATACTTGAGCGATTTTGATACATAGTCTGTCCAGTAAATACAGGAACTGATGTCATAAGCACTACTTACTTTACTTTTCAAAATTTGGGTACATCAAACTTATCCCCTTCAAAACACTCCAGCAGTACACTTATCCCACCTCCATGTCCATTGTTATTATCGCTGGAAGTCATCATACATCAGGCTCTTCAGGTACCTTGTCGTTTCACGTTTTATCCTTTTTACGTGTACCCAGTGCCACTCCCGCATGACCATTTTAATAATTCATCACGCGTGATGATCCTTTCAAGGAAACCGGAAATTTGACCTGAGTTTTTCCACTCGGGTAGCATTAGGTCCTTCTCAGCTCCCTTGTAGCTCACTAAATGGCAATCAAGAAACATAAGCCAGTAGTGGATGCAGCAATTAGTCTTCAAGAAAATAAGCATCAGCCATCGAAGGCAACATCACGTCGATATGCACTCGGCAGCACCAAGAAAAAGCCTGTAAGAACAGTGTGGGAATGCAGCAGATGTAAAGTTGCACTCTGCTTGGAAAAGAAAAACTGTTTCCGTGAGTACTATAGAGACTGATTTGTAGGGATGTGTTGTTCTGTGGGCGGTGGTCACTGACACTAACCACCAGAAGTGGTCATTTTTTCACGCGTCTTGGACAAAATATGTGAGTGAGTGAGTGATCACCACCAAGGAAGACCACTGACCTGGCCTTAGCCTCACAGTGTGTTATCTTCCTGGCAGAAATCATCTACTCTCTGCTCCATCCTACTCCGGGAGCGCAGCCGAATCGACAATTTATGAGTAATTGTCACAAATAATTTTATTGTAACACGTGATATAGTAAATAAAACAAGAGTTTTGCTGAAAAAGTTAATTGCCTTTTCCTGCCCCTCAAAGAGTTAATTCAGTTGATCGGCAATCATCCTAGCAATTAACTGACGATCGGAAGCACAGGGGACCGCGCACGTTCAATATTGTCTTCCAACACAGGAGGTCGACGGTTGTCCCGGCCTTGCCTCATCTTTGAAGTCTTCACGGTTGTCACTGAAACACTTGATCCACTTGAAAAGAGCTATTTTCTTCAGTTCTTTATTTCCATAAAGAGTTCTCAACATTTCATTAATTTCCTGGGAGCTTTTTCCAAGTCTCACCAAAAACTGATTTATTCCATTTGTTCATTAATATCCGTCGTCGACAAGGGAAAAAAAAAAAGCACCACAAAAGAAATCCCAGGTGTTAGCTGTACGTTCGCCTCGACGATCTAGCTGTTACTGCTGCTCCAGTGGGTCCCTTGCCAACAGAGCAGCAAGTCCACATAGTTGAATTACAATTCAAGGGTCAGCCTACTAGCTCAGTTTGCGTATTTATTGGAGAGACTACGTACAGCAGTTATATTGCAATTTAATATTACCAAGCATGTAGAAAAGGCGAAAAAGGTGTAATGAAAGTAAATCCTCAGAGAATTATTAAGGAATTTCATCTATATTCTGAATCTTATGCTTTTATATTGCTAACTGCATTACTTATGGTTCCAATTTTAACAATATTTGCCTGAATAATTGCAAATTAAAAAGTATTTTTTTGCATATCGTTACAGAAACATTTGTGTTAGCATAAAGTTCCATATTTTAAATAAATCTAAATTATTTTTATTCGCGAAAATCTTATATGTAACTACGTATTTAGAAGCAAAGAGACAAAAACATAAAATTCTTTATAGGATCATTTTAGGCCTTGTAACGAATGCTTATCGTATACGGTATGTCAATAGTTAGTGTTTTGTTAAAAACTAAATTCACATTAAAAAAAAGCCCTGAATTTTTTGTGGCATTTGATGGATTTGAAAAGTCAAAATGTAATATCTCCAAATGTATCTTATGCTAATTAACCAGTTATTTTAAGATTTAGACCATTACTGTCACTTCTTCCTTCCGTTTCCAAGCCAGAATGCAAATTAGTTCGCTTGTATTTAAGATGAGGTTTTTAGATTGTAAGACAGAGCGTGTTCTCGAGGCCACGTTGCTAGCTCAGATAAGATTTGTAGTCTTCTGCCTTGCATTATAATTGTCGATATTGAATCTTCACGCCGGTTAGACTTGTGAGCCAATTTCACTTAAAATTCATCTGTATAGTCTTGGCTAAGCTTCTAGGCACCAGGTTTGCCTTCTGTTCTAAATTAGTTTAAAATAAAGGGTTTTCTATACCATAAACAAAGCTCAGTTGTTATTTTATACTTCGCGATGATTCGCTTAACGTCTATCAAAATTTTGGACATTAGAGGATTGCAAAACATACCAGAATTTATGCATTTGTAATCAGTATTAGATGAATTAATGTTATATTGTATTGCACTTTCTGTAAACATTGAGTAACTGAATTCTTAAGTGGTAGTAGTTCAGAAAGAATTAATGTTCTTCAAAATGTTACGGTGTAATCAAAAGAGTTGGAAGCGGTCAAGTATGTTTATGACATGACCATCCACGTTTTCAGACAATTTTGTCTTGCTGTGAAGTGGTCGTCTTAGAGAAATAAAGTTGATGTTCAGTATAGTTATTTAATCTATGTTCGTAGAATACGTTCGCAGAATACGTTCGCTTTCAAAGTGCTCACTTTATAAGAGTTGGGTTCAATGAGAGGTTTACGGTACGTAGAAAATTGTGCTCTGTAAAATAGAGATGGAATAAATGGAAATTATATTTTATTCTATATAGGTATTTTATGTTTTTAAAACTTTCTAAGCCGCACCTGAGTCCCGAGAATATAAAAAAATAAACGATAAAAATAAAAGTTTGGTTGTCTATTTATGTTAGCTTTTAAGATGGTATAATCGAATTTTTGCATCCCAGTTTGGCATTAGGGCGTTTTCCCATGAGAAACGAAGGACCTGCGAACGAGAGAAACGAATAACCAACTCTTTTTCCCAACTTTGAAAATTCTAGAACCATAGGTGAGAAAGAGATATCAAAATAACCTAGACTGTATATGTACTTTAGCCATTTTGTTTTGTCCAAAGAAATCCAAGATGGCGGTTGGAGTTGGATAAATATAGGTCGCATATTTATGGCAGCTATATTTGATAGCCTGAAGCACTAACAGAAAAAAAAAATAATACGCTGTGTGAGAAATGTCACTTCTGTATGAAAGTGTTTTTGGAACTTACATCCGGAAAGAATGTAGCTGCGTGCAAAGCCCACATAACTAATTAAAACTAACATAACTGACTAACGGTTAAAGTGAACTGCTCACATAATTAATGTATTAAAATCGATGAAAAGTAGTTTATATTTGATTCGGTAGTCCGTGACGTTTTGCAGAAAACTTTTGTTTTTGATACATTCAAGGTTTTTTGAGAGAAAGTTGTCTGAAACAGAAAATCCAACGACACACTTACTTAAATAAAAAGTGCTTTGTATCCAAAAGGCCATCAATATACATAATAGCAAGCCTTCCCCCCCCCTGAGAATCAACAAATGATTCAAACTCATTCACTTTATTTTATAATCCTGCCTTATAATTTTTAGTATAGCCTTTTATAACAAATGTAATGAATAAAACATGTTCTCTGAAAAACTGAATTTATTTGTAACGTTCCAAAATTCCTTAAAATGTTTAGTCGAAGATTCCTCTTAAAATATATGGTTATAACTTACCGTCGTTTTTAAAGGCTAAATTGGATTTTGTTATAGAATTCGTAAATCCTAACAATGTTTTTTCCCTCCTATAAATTTCAGTGAAGTGTTTTAGATGCTTAAATATTCAAATATATGTTACATTCAGCGAAATCGCTTAGATAAAAGAATCGATTTGTTTATGGCCAATACAACTGGCATTATGTACTTTTATTTTTTAAGTTGATACGCATCGGCTTCTAATTTTTATGTAATTTCTTTTACAAACTATGACAATTCTTAAAATGATTGCTGAATTACTTAAAGTGATTTTAACTGAATAAATTTTTCCTTCCTTTGTCCTAAACCTTTTCACATACA